TATAACCAGTCTGAGGTTGTCATGTCAACTCTCTGTTGAAGCTTTAGATCCTGTTGATCTCAATGAGATTTTCTTCGAAATTCCCCTCCAGGAACAAGCATCTATCATGTTATTTTCATAAATAAAGACTTTTTGTTCTATTGCACCTGGTTAAAATACTTTTATAATCATATTTTTTTATTATTTTATTTATTATTATTTTATATTATATCTAGCAAGTAATGAGAGTTCATAAAACTACATGTATAATAACTGTAGAACAATAGAGCTTGTTTGAAGCCTTAAAGTTAGCATTGAAAACAGCATTTTTGAGCTAGGACTTTGCTAAAATTACTTGAAGAGGCTTTAATGCTTTGTTCTACAACATTTTTTCCCCAACAGACATGTTTTTTTTTAAACACAAGATTACTAGTAAATAAAGACTAACTACCACAAGATTGTGAGTTCACATTGCTTGATGAAACAAATTCTTATTCAGAATCAGTAACTTTTAAGCAACACATTTGTTTGTTTAAAAGTATAAACACTTGGCATTTATGTACATTGTTTCCTATCAAGTTAAGGATGTTTTCACCTGACCAGGGGGCTGTTTCATAAAACAAGTTGACCAAATAAGCCAGGTTTATTTCAGTTAGTCTGACTTATTGTCAGTTGATTTGGTTCAAAATAAGTCAGACTAACTGAAATAAGTCTGGCTTATTTGGTAAACTTGTTTTATGAAACAGGCCCCTACCTAAACATAACTCTTATAGAAGCCTGTGCAAAATGCTATATATTATAAATGATGATTTCGCCAATTTATAAGCCTTCAACTGAGGTTGGGCTTACTACTCCGTGTTCAACAGGTTTCACTCTATTATAGGACATTTTTAAATAGTGAGGACGTTTTGGACCTCAAAAGTATAGTCATATCTGTACAACCTGTACACACAAAGCAGCTTCACAATTCATGTTTGAGGCATAACTGTGTCATTTTAAGCCTTCTTTACCTTATCTTGTACCACTAAAGCATAGAAATGCATGTTAATAACATGTTTGCTCAAATCTCAATGGAATTACACAACTAAGAGGAAATGCACTGACCATTCACAAATGAAAAGAAAACAAGTAAACACACACCTACACACACACAAACTCAGCCCACATTAGCAGCACCGCTGGCTGTAAAACTTCCCCTCATAAACAGCACTGGCTTTCTCACAGCAGCCTTACATGGCACGAAATACAGAGAAAACGCGCACTGCTGCTCATGCTCACATTTGACACTCGACACTCTTCTGTATGTTTGCTCTCTCTCTCTCTCTGAACTGCAGTGTGTAAAGGCTCGTCAGCCAGAGATAGAGCATCTGACAAATTACTGGTACAGCCCTGCCCTGCGTTACCAACATGCCACCCGCACCAGGGAAAATATATCAGTGCCAATAAACACATCTAGGAGCACGCGGATACACAAGGAGAGACTGTAGAACAAAGCTGCCAAGGTTGTTCTCATGTTACACCCTTTAAAGTGTCATCAAACGAGCTCTGCGGGTAGTCTGGGTTAGTATGCAGTGCGAATGTACCTGTCAAATCTGGCTAAATTCTCTTGGAATACTTGATTGTAATTGGTCATTTATTAGACATTCAGAAGTCAAATATTTCTTAGCATTTTCCGTCGTCCATGGCAACACAGTATCATTCCTCTCATCTGGGTGACCGCCGACTTGCGCCATCTTCAGGTAAATTATCTCAGATGATTTCAATTGTAAACAAAAACTTTTTTGTCGTCATTTACTGTCTTTCCCTTAAGGTAGAGTCACATTTACTGTTGCGCAGTAAAATTTCATCACACACTGAATAGGGAGATAAGAGTAGCTAAGACAGGGCTGTCCAAACTCGGTCCTGGAGGGCCGGTGTCCTGCAGAGTTTAACTCCAACTTGCCTCAACACACCGAACTGGAAGTTTCTATGCCTAGTACGAGCTTGATTAGCTGGTTCATGTGTTTAATTAGGGTTGGAACTAAACTCTGCAGGACACCGGCCCTCCAGGACCGAGTTTGGACAGCCCTGAGCTAAGAGAAGCTACTATGAAAAGCTGAAAAAAAAAAGTTTTCAAACAATGACCCTACCTTAGTGTAGAAGGGCCTGAAAGCCATCACCAGCTACAAGACCCAATCCCCCAGCACTGTGGAGAATAAACTTTTAGCCAATGATTTGAATGAGTTTTACTACAGGGTTGAAAAGCCTAGTCTCACACCCCACACCCAATCTGACTGTCTCACAACCCAGCCATCAACCCCCCACCCCCCATACTGCTTCTCAGCCTGCACTTAAGATCTATGAAGATGTATGCAAAGTCTTCAGGAAACAGAAGATAAGGAAAGCCAAAGGCCCAGACGGTGTCTCTCCTGCCTGTGCTGTCCAGCTGTCATCCATCTTCACACTGATCTTCAACAAGTCCCCTCCTGCTTCAAATGCTCCACCACCATCCCTGTACCCAAGAAACCAAATATCACAGGCCTAAATGACTACAGACCTGTTGCTTTAACATCATAAAGTCATTTGAGAGACTGGTATTGGCTTACTTGAAGGACATTACTGAACCCTAACTGGACCCCTGCAGTTTGCTCATCGAACAAACAGGTCGATGGATGATGCGGTCAACATGGGACTGCACTACATCCTCCAACATCTGGACAAACCAGGGACTTATCATGCTGGATACCGTTCTGATTAAACTGACACAGCTCTGTCAAAGCATGATGGTGTTGAATGTGGAGCTGAAGTCCACAAACAGGATCCTTGCATAAATGCATTATTTACTGTATATACAGCTGTACATACAGTAAATAATGCACAGATCTGTACATAAATCTTCTTTTCCAGATGTATACCACATTATTATTATTTGTGTCCCTTAGACTTATTTAAATGTTATTTCTTTCTTATTTAAATGCTCTTCCTGTTCTCAATGACTTATATGTATGTTTGTACCAAGAGCTCCTAAAAAACCCACAACAAATTCATTGTGTTTGCACACACTTGGCAAATAAAGCTCATTCTATTTCTGATTCTGAAAATTTTGCAGGCTAAATTGTAATTTCAATAGGAATCCACGTGATCTGGAATTTTGCTTATAAGTGCAGTGTCTATGGCCTAGTGCAGGGTTCCTCAAATCTTACCCTGGAGGTCCAATGCGCTGCAGAGTTTAGCTCCAACCCTGATCAAACTCAGCTACCTGTGATTTTCTAATGATCCTGAAGACATTGATTAGCATGCTCAGGTTTGAATAGGGCTAGAGCTAAACTCTGCAGGAAAATGGATCTCATGGGCCAGATTTGAGGATCCCTGGTCTAGTGTCAACAGCACAGCGACGTACAAAGCACCACTCACCCAGAAGTCATTTTCAAACCAAGCAGCTTTCTTTCGGTAACTATAAGTTTAAACAACTGTAATATCTGCAAGGGGGAATCTTTCACTCTCAAAAGGAATTCGGTCACGTGGATTGCTATTAAAATAATGGATTTTGGCAGAAAAAAAAAAACTAAAAATATAGCAGCAAGCAGCAATAAGGGGCCAAGTACAACAGCGGTAAAATGAAGCGCTAAGGAGGTGTCTTTAATTAATCAGTAAAGACCAGGACTCGCCAACCCTACTCCTGGAGAGCTACAGTGGGTACGGAAAGTATTCAGACCCCCTTAAATTTTTCACTCTTTGTTATATTGCAGCCATTTGCTAAAATCATTTACGTTCAATTTTTTTCCTCATTAATGTACACACAGCACCCCATATTGCGTAATTAAGTAGCCCTGCACACCTGGATTAGTTGGTTCAGGTGTGTTTGATTAGGGTTGAAGCCAGTGTTGCCAATTTAGCTATTTTGTAGCTAGATTTAACGACTTCTCCGCCCCTTTTGAGACTTTTTTCAAAAGTTTAGGGACAAAAATAGCAACTGCTTGGACAATCCTTATCGAAGTTCTCATCTTGCCCACGGAGCTACGTTCATCTTTATATAGATCAGTGAATTTGCCATCGTGATGTCATCTAGTGACATTTAGCTGCCAGTTTTAGCTACTTTAAATTGAAAGCAGTTGGCAACACTGGCTGAAGCTCTCCATGAGCAGGGTTGGAGACCCCTGTTAAAGACATATGCTGATACAGCACTTTACTACAAACCTCAAAATGGCCAATGCACAAAAAGGCAAACATAGGAAAATTCAAAATTGCAAAAAAATCTTGAACCATAGAAATTTACATTTTGGTATGAGCCAAGGAATCAGAAGAAAAAATAATTTTGCTTTTAGACTTTATGGTTCAAAAGTTATTAGCAGAAACATGTGTAAATTTGGCCTGTTGGTGGCGCTAAAGAGTTTGAGTTAGAGACTCCAAATTTGCTGTGATCAAGGATGAGACTGTCTTCTATCTGTGTGCCAAATTTCATAAAGTACATAAGTACAGCATTTTACTACGAAATTCGAAATGGTCCACGCTCAAAATGGCTGACATAGGAAAATTGGGTATCGTTTGAATATCATTTCAATCTTATGATTTTTGGTCAAACTCTTCAGAAGTTATAAACAAAAATGTAAATCTTGAGACTGACATTGACAAAATGTATGCATTCGACTCTGTATGAGCCAAGGAATCGGAGGAAAAAAGAATTTTGCTTCCTTACGTTCAAAAATTATTAGCAGAAATTTTCGTGAAAATTTGGCCTATTGGTTGCGCTAGAGAGTTTGAGATATTGACTCCAAATTTGCAGGCAGTTCTATGTGCTGCCATAGACTTCAAACTTGGATTCAAGTTTTTCACGTGAATTCGCCACATTGATCAACAGAAAGCTGATTGGATTTAAAGTGACTTAAGTGCAAGAGATGCATTGCGCATCACTACACCGTTGCCAGTAGAAAATGGAAGCTTTTTTTCAAATGTGACCACACTTTTATGCGGACACAGATGATGATATTTTGAAGAATGTTGGTAACCAAACACTTTTGGTGAACATTAATTTTATATATATGGTTACTAACGGGTTCAAGTCAGAAGTCCAGTCCATCTTACCTCCAATTGCTTGGGAAAGAAATAACACACCTCTGCTCAACAAGCAACATGATTAGCGACATCATCCATAGCACAAACTGTGCGAGGAGTTAAATTAAGATCTTGTCCAAATCCCTGTCCATAAGCAAAACGAATAGTGATGTTTAATTTGCAAACACCACTACTTTGCTCCAATCTGCAATAGACCAGCTATGATCACAAAAAGTGAAAATGAAAGAGCGCCCCCCTATGGATTACCTAAGACATAAACACTAGTCAAATCAAGGCTTGTGCAAACTTCACCTTGCAGTACCAGACATTCATTCATTAGGTCAATAGAAAGCTTCTTAAACCGGAAAAATAACAATTGATTATGGCTGCAATCTATTATATACTGCTAGAGATGAGAACTAGCAGCAGAAAACACCTGCGGAACCATTGCTGCTGGAATAAAATGTGTTTTTGTATTGAGCAGGCGAGATTCAATTTGTTATCTTGCTGAAATCCCTGTTGGCCAGTGTGCTGACACATATACTGCACTCAGCAAGTCCACACACAGACGTACAGAAATGCATATCTATGGACTCCAGGCAGAACCGCTGACTTAATGTAATCTGAAACCCATCTAAAACAGCTTACTGAATAAAATACAAATACACATCTGGACAAATAAAGACCGCATAAGGAAGACGTGTGTAAAAACATAACACTTTATACAAGTAGGCTGAAAAAAAAAATTTCAATGAATACACAAGTACTTTACAAATACAAATGCCGTTGTCCCCCCTCCAGAGTTATTTACATGTGTACCTGACCCAACATCAATACAAAAAGACGTATTTATGACTGAAAGCCCCGACATTATATGATTTACACACACAGAGGGAAAGTCTTGATTTAAGTCAGTTCGTTACTGATCGCAGGCCAATGTAAACACACTAACAGCCAAGCTGAGGTCTGACTCAACTGACTAATGGTGACATTGTTCATAACTATGTATAAGAAAAACAGAAATATTTCACAGATGTGTTTTCAGCAATGACGTTTCTTCCAAATCTAAGTTGGGAGGGTGATACTTCCCACAGCTGCTACCATGAAATGGCTGCATTGCAGGATAGTTTTCTATCAATTTGTTGTTAAATCACATTCTGAATTATTGTACCACTTAAACATTTCACACACAAGTACACATCACTAAACAGTTTTCAGATGAAATCCATCCATGCAGCTGAACTTGTGTGTATGGTGACAATAATTTGTTTTAGGGGGGTTTCATGATACAAGCTAATGTATTCAATTCTTTTATAGAAAGGGAGCATTCACATGTATCAAACTAATGGTAGTTTGCCATTTATACATCCCTAAAGAATGAGTTTGGTTCGCTGAGTCTTGCTAATCTTGATTCTCATCATTAAATGCTTAAATAAAGGGATATTTACTGACACAAACAGCAAAGGGACAACACCACCACAGCTACTAAAAAACATTGGGGGACACACACACATATAATTCGACTGATTGAACATTATGAATAATGTTGAGACGATCTGCCAAAAGAGTTCCCGGCAAGCCAAATGAAGTGTTCAAGTGATGAAGCTGATGGCTGTTGTGATCCAAACGCACTTGATCCATGACATGTTAAACGCTGTATAAACAGAGCATGTAGCATGGTAGAAAAAGAACAAGGAGCGTTTGGCGGCTCGGTAAAGAGTTCAGTATGAAAATGAGCCGTCGTACTGTGGTAAAGTCATGCTTGACTCCTGATGAACGAGCCTCGGTTAATAAGCTGTAAAAAAGAAAAACAAAAGAAACGGACTGGCCATAGTGTGAGGGCCACTGGCAGAGTGATGTTTGATTAACATGTGATGTGGTTAGCTTATGAGTGTTGCTTCAAATTGTAAAAAGCTCAATCCAGACGGTCACCGGTGAGTTCCTGTATTACAAAAGGTCAGTCTTTCCAAAGCAAATGAAAAAACCAAAACAAACCAAAAAAAGCCCTATGCTGTGCCCAGGTACTTCCTCCTCCTATGACTCTCTAGCTGCCACCACTGGCTTTGGCGGGGGTTTTGGAGCGCATGGCAGCCCCAGTGCGGGTGTTTCCTTTGCCTTGCTGGGGCTGCGGGGTGGCAGCGGTCTGCTGTGCTGGAGACTCAGAGACGGTGGCCGCCGCGATGCTCTGCTGCGGGGCAGGGCTGTGTGGCGCTGGGGTCTGGATTTGAGGGGAGGCGGCTGCTGCTGTAACAGCCTGCTGCTGGAGGAGCTTCTGTTGCACAGCCTGCGTGGCTGCGGTGGTGACTTGCACCTGGGCCTGTCCCGAACCTGCTGCGGGTGCTGCCTGCGTCAGGGCCACTGTCTGAGGCTGAGCCTGGATCTACACACACAAAATCAATTCAGCTATCAGAATCAGGAGTTACGATATCTTGTAATAATCACAGAACTAGGACTGCATGAAAATAATAATAATAAAAAAGTAAAAAAAATATTTGAAGACTGACATAACTGGGATAACACACACACATATATATATACAGTGGGGCAAAAAAGTATTTAGTCAGCCACCAATTGTGCAAGTTCAATACATTTCCATGACTTCATGACTTTTGAGACAATATTCATGACCTACATGTTCCATTATTTTACGATAAGAATAAAAATCTGTTCAAATTATCATAGCATCTGTTAACTAAAATTCATGACTATTAATGCTACTTGTTTGCTTTCTTGTTTTAGTAATAAGTACAAGCTGCAACTGCGCCAGACGTTACTCCACATATCACATCACTGAATATTATCATTTATTTAACTGTGTGGCCAGGATGGCCATTTTGGTGGCATTTTGTGTGTATTTTTGCTGCTTAAACGCAACAAGCTGCTCTATAGAGCCCTGCATTTTAGCCCGAGCCTGACGGGCCCAGACTTATTTATGAGTCTGAGACGCGGGCCGGGCATTGGGCTTTCTTCCTCCTCATTTTTATATTTTAGATATTCATCAATTATTATGGTGATGAAAAAGATTTGCCGCACTGGTGGAAACAACACGAGACCAGCGTGTCCAGCAGCAGCGAGTGCTGGAAGAGTTCCATGTTAAAGCGCACGCAAAGCTTGCTGCAAAACCCCAGCAAGTAATTACCATGATGAATGCCCCAGGGGAGATAGAATATTTGCTGAGTTTCGGTTCATTTTTGTGAAGCGCTCCTGCTCAAGACCGAGACGGCAGAAAGCGCATCCTGTTTGTTTTCTAAAAAAGCACAACGTATGCTGATATTGTGAGTGCACACAAATAAAAGTAGACCCTTAATAGTTCCGAATGATGTATTACTCTTACCTTTATGAGCAAAAATGACGGTTGTTTCCACTGTTATAAGAAAAAAATGCAAGTGATTGCGTTGGGACTCCATGTCCTGCAAAGCGCGCTTTAGCTTCTCTGCACAAATGACTGAATATGCGCCTAATAGCACACATTTATCTAGGTTAAACATTTAAACTAACATTGTGATATGCTTTTTAAAAAGTATTTTATATAGGCCTAGACATTTTATTTTAGTCAAGTTTCAGAAGGCTAAATTGATCAAACATAGGCTATGATTAACTCACTGTCTGCCACTGGCCGCTTGGTTGTTATTTTAAAAAACAAAAACTTGAACAAAAAATGTTCCAAACATATTTCTAAATTAACGTAATAAAGAAACTAAAATAAATATAACCACTTTGCCATTAAAACAAAACTGAACTATTTTTATGGCTACAACATCAGCTGTGTAATGGTGAAGAGAGAAAGAGAAAAAAGACACGGGCTCCAGTCGGACTCGGCTGGTAATTCTGATAATCTGTCGGACAAGGGCCGGACTAGGGCATATGTTTGAGGCCCGTGCAGGGTTCTACTGAGCTTGTTTGGTAGCAAACTCAATTTGGTACTCGCAAGGCGGCTTTATATACGCACACGACCTTTGGATGTACCGAATGGCTTAAAAAGACGTGCAGATAAATAATACAATGCAACAATGACCCGATTAGGCAAGTGACAATTCTGTCAACTGTCCCGAAACGTGAGCGAAAGTCTTGTATCGCAGCGTGCAGCGGCTCTTGTAGCGCAGACAAGATGCGCCGATGTGAAGCCGTTTGAAGAGAAAGTCAAAAAGAGAAGACGCGGTACAGCTGAATCACTCATGCTGTTTTCAAATGACTGATTTGATCAGTCTGTGTGGATTTATTTACTCATCAAACCTACATGCTATAGGCTATTGAATAAATGTGTGAATATCCATCATTTTAAAGTCAAAAACTGTGGGAATGAGTAAAATATAGCCTATGCGCAATCCCGCACCGAAATTCAGGACCTGATTAAACAATTCTATTATACAGAGTTTTGTGAAATAGATTTCAATGACTTTTCCAAAACTTTCTGGGTTTATTTATTTTTCCAAAACTTTTCCAGGTTTTCCATGACCGTACAAACCATGAACTTAGTATGAGAGCCTGTTCTAGTACACCCCCAAAACAAAATCAAGACTTTGTAAAAGAGCATAATAGGACCCCTTTAAAGTATTATTTCAAACACCACAGATTTCTTATGAAGTTCAATGATAAAATACTTACAGATACTACAGTAAAGACAGTATTGACGACTCCAGCTCCAATGGTGGCATAAACGGGCTGATTCACTCCAGCTGACTCAAAAATACCAGTTGAGTAATAAAAGACCTTTGAGAAACACAAAGAAAAGTCCAAATGATTAACTAAAGAATGTAAAGTGATAGTAAAACAAGAGCACTAGTGTATATTAAACATTTGACAGTCTGACCAAATAATGAGCTATAAAGTGGAAGTTAAAAATCATGGCTGATATCAGAAATTATTTGTCACATTCAAAATGTAAGGTCAAGTCCAGCACATTGAATTTCAGGATACTGTATTTTGGAACATAATGAAAGTTTCGCATTCCAAGTATAGTAAGATATCCAAATATTTACTGCTTATATAAAGAATGCATATTATAAACAATATACATACTGTTTCACATTCAAAATAGTAGGTAGTATGCAGTAACGAGCACAGTGCATGATGGGTAATGTATGTCACTCACAGCATTGATGCCAGACAGCTGCTGGGACAGCTGCAGCATGATAGCGATGAGCAGAGGCTGGCGGTAAGCAGCGGTGCGGAAGAGCTCTGGGATGGTCACCTTCTTCTCCATGGCCATCTTCGCACTCTCCTCCTTCATCTCCTGCATGTCCTTCCCCACATCCTCGTAACCACGGAGACGCACCAGCGCTGAGGGACAAAATAACGGAGGTTTGGTCATACAAATCTAACAAGAAAGACTACTACATTTTGGCATGGGTAAAACTGTTGAATGTTAAGTGACAATTCTGTCAACTGTCCCGAAACGTGAGCGAAAGTCTTGTATCGCAGCGTGCAGCGGCTCTTGTAGCGCAGACAAGATGCGCCGATGTGAAGCCGTTTGAAGAGAAAGTCAAAAAGAGAAGACGCGGTACAGCTGAATCACTCATGCTGTTTTCAAATGACTGATTTGATCAGTCTGTGTGGATTTATTTACTCATCAAACCTACATGCTATAGGCTATTGAATAAATGTGTGAATATCCATCATTTTAAAGTCAAAAGCTGCGGGAATGAGTAAAACTATGCGATATAGCCTATGCGCTAATCCCGCACCGAAATTCAGGACCTGATTAAACACAATTCTATTATACAGAGTTTTGTGAAATAGATTTCCATGACTTTTCCAAAACTTTATGGGTTTATTTATTTTTCCAAAACTTTTACAGGCCTGGAAATTGCTGTTTTAAAATTCCATGACTTTTCCAGGTTTTTCATGACGTACGAACCCTGTATGTATGTATGTATATATATATATATATATATATATATATATAAATTAATAAATTAAAAAAGAACAATTTATTTTATAAATATATTTATATATTATAAATGTCTTGACTGTCACTTTTGTTCAGTTTAATGCATTCTTGCCAAATAAAAGCATAAATGTCTTTATAAAAATGTTACTGACCCCAAACATTTGAACAGCAGTATATGTTAATTATATTCAATAAAAAATAATGCAATCAGTGAAAAAGGAAAGTCATTTCAGAGGTGGAACAAAATCAGGAACAAACACAAAGAAAGGAAACACGGTCAATTTTGACTTAAAGTTCACTTTAAAAAAGGCACCAAATAATGAATTTAAGCAATCGAACACAAAGTACACCAAACACTGAAACACTTACCTGTTGAGGTGAGGATACTATCTGCTGCTGAACTATTTGAGGGAGTTTAGCGACCTACAAGCAGAAGGGAAAATCACTACAAAGCCAAGCTGGGCACTAAACCACACACATAAAGCACTACATGGCACTGCACATCAAAATACTTACAATCTGACCACACCACATGTCAGGCTTTGCACTTGTGCGGGTGCTGGCTGTGAAAGTCTAACTTCTTACCTGTATCTGCTGTGTTGTGGTTGGTTTCTGTGGCTGTGCAATGGAGGTGAAGAACTGGGTCTTAATGCCAGGCTGAAGTTGAGTGGTGGCAGTGTATGTCACTTTCTGCTGCTGTTGGGCTGTGGTCTGAGCGGCCTGCTGCGTGCCCAGCTGAACAGAGAGATACAGAGACAAAGGAGAGAGGGGTTGAAGAAACATTTATACAAATAATGCTTTATTAAAAAATAAATCACACTGGCTGACTGGCACCTTTTGCTGCACTGCAGCCTGTGTTTGCTGTGGCTGTGCTGCCTTCTGGACTGCAGCCGCCTGGGCAGCTGCCTGCTGCTTTTGTCTCTGCAACAGTTGCACCTGGAACGGGTGGGTCACCACTGGACCACCTGCACAAACACACACACACACGCTTTAGTCTACAGGAGCCCCAAAAAGGTTGTTACTGACATTGAGACTATGTGGGTGAGTAAAGAAAGCAGGCATCTCTGCTAGACTCATGGTCATAAACAGTGCAAATAAACAGTCTTGTGCCAGTCACTACAGCTTCTGTAAGCCTCTGTTTGATAATTGATTTGGTTTGCTTGACAATAAGTTACTGAAATCTCTAATCTCTTACGCCGGGAGTACATAGTGCAAAACAAAAAAATTTAATAAAAAGGGGGTGTTTAATACATTACAAACTCCTACATGCTATAGGCTATTGAATAAATGTGTGAATATCCATCATTTTAAAGTCAAAAACTGTGGGAATGAGTAAAATATAGCCTATGCGCAATCCCGCACCGAAATTCAGGACCTGATTAAACAATTCTATTATACAGAGTTTTGTGAAATAGATTTCCATGACTTTTCCAAAACTTTATGGGTTTATTTATTTTTCCAAAACTTTTACAGGCCTGGAAATTGCTGTTTTAAAATTCCATGACTTTTCCAGGTTTTTCATGACGTACGAACCCTGTATGTATGCATGTATATATATATATATATATATATATATATATAAATTAATAAATTAAAAAAGAACAATTTATTTTATAAATATATTTATATATTATAAATGTCTTGACTGTCACTTTTGTTCAGTTTAATGCATTCTTGCCAAATAAAAGCATAAATGTCTTTATAAAAATGTTACTGACCCCAAACATTTGAACAGCAGTATATGTTAATTATATTCAATAAAAAATAATGCAATCAGTGAAAAAGGAAAGTCATTTCAGAGGTGGAACAAAATCAGGAACAAACACAAAGAAAGGAAACACGGTCAATTTTGACTTAAAGTTCACTTTAAAAAAGGCACCAAATAATGAATTTAAGCAATCGAACACAAAGTACACCAAACACTGAAACACTTACCTGTTGAGGTGAGGATACTATCTGCTGCTGAACTATTTGAGGGAGTTTAGCGACCTACAAGCAGAAGGGAAAATCACTACAAAGCCAAGCTGGGCACTAAACCACACACATAAAGCACTACATGGCACTGCACATCAAAATACTTACAATCTGACCACACCACATGTCAGGCTTTGCACTTGTGCGGGTGCTGGCTGTGAAAGTCTAACTTCTTACCTGTATCTGCTGTGTTGTGGTTGGTTTCTGTGGCTGTGCAATGGAGGTGAAGAACTGGGTCTTAATGCCAGGCTGAAGTTGAGTGGTGGCAGTGTATGTCACTTTCTGCTGCTGTTGGGCTGTGGTCTGAGCGGCCTGCTGCGTGCCCAGCTGAACAGAGAGATACAGAGACAAAGGAGAGAGGGGTTGAAGAAACATTTATACAAATAATGCTTTATTAAAAAATAAATCACACTGGCTGACTGGCACCTTTTGCTGCACTGCAGCCTGTGTTTGCTGTGGCTGTGCTGCCTTCTGGACTGCAGCCGCCTGGGCAGCTGCCTGCTGCTTTTGTCTCTGCAACAGTTGCACCTGGAACGGGTGGGTCACCACTGGACCACCTGCACAAACACACACACACACGCTTTAGTCTACAGGAGCCCCAAAAAGGTTGTTACTGACATTGAGACTATGTGGGTGAGTAAAGAAAGCAGGCATCTCTGCTAGACTCATGGTCATAAACAGTGCAAATAAACAGTCTTGTGCCAGTCACTACAGCTTCTGTAAGCCTCTGTTTGATAATTGATTTGGTTTGCTTGACAATAAGTTACTGAAATCTCTAATCTCTTACGCCGGGAGTACATAGTGCAAAACAAAAAAATTTAATAAAAAGGGGGTGTTTAATACATTACAAACTGAAAAAAAAACAAAAACAATTTGAGACTTACATGTAATTTAAGATTGGAAAAGAGTTACAAACAGATGGACAGACAGCTTTTTTGTTCTTAGACAATTGGATCAATGAAAGATTGCTCAAATTCTTTCATGAGAACAAGAGAGGTCTGCAGTAACTCGCTGAACTTTGGCAGAAACGGTATGATGTCATGCAGTGTGTGTACCAGGAGTCGTCCGAGATGATATTTTACAGCGGATTGCTCAAGTTATCAGCTGAGATGTAGTACAAGTAGCTACTAATTGTTAGCTTTAGTGTGTAATAGGCTATTTAATTCACTAGGGCTGCCACTAGCGATTATTTTTATATTGATTAATCTAAACTAGGGCTGTAATGGTCGCCATGACAACCGCGCCACAGCGGTAGTCGATTGCAATTGTGTTGACAGTAAAATGTTAAACGAATTGTATCTTGACAAGACAAATAAAACTAAGAAATACAATTTTTGTACAATCTACATTTTTTCTCGGCGATACTTTTTTTCCTACTGTGTTGACAGCAAAATATTAGACAAATCTTTGTACCATGACAAGACAAAGAAAATAAATACAATGTTTGTGCAGACTACATTTTTATTTGTTATCTCTCTTTCAGTAGTGGAAATTTAAATAGCGATGCACTGAAATGAAAATTCTTGGCCGAAGCCGAACAAAATGAAACACTGGGCAGAATACCGAATACGCCCCCCATGTATTTTGCCAAATTTTTTTCACCATTGCATAAATTAAATAGCCAAAATGTTATTTTTACTGTTTTGTCTTGCTTTTCAAAGAAAAAAATCTATTACAATACAACAATTTAAAAATATTTAACACTGAACATTTTTAACATTCTAGCAGACACTATACCAACAAAGCACAATTTAACTTAAAATTAATAAGTTAGTAAAATAATAATTTTTTCTCTCGCTGTCGGTGCTTGTAATGATTTTTGCGTCTTTCTCTGGCAATTTCAAATGCTTCCACACTGCTGACATGTTTGTTGCATTATAAAGAGTGCGTGCCTCTCACTCTGCCCTGGTTGCTATTTGACTGCGTCATATCATTGTTCGGTACAATTTATTCGGTCTTTTCACTTATTTTCGCACCGAAAGAGCTTTTTTTGCTATTTTCGGCCGAATAATTTCGGTTGCCGAACATTCGGTGCATCCCTAAATTTAAATGTGAGATTCTGAAAACGAGATCTATTTACAAATTGCACTGCTCATATTAGTGGTGTGGAGGAAACGGTTGTTATTTTTGTCAAAGTGTGAAAACAAAATAATATAAAATGATCAGTCGATTAAAAATATTGATGTTGACTAATTATCAGCGTCGACACAGTCGATTATATTGACCAATCGCGACAGGCCTATCTTATTCTCCTCATTTCAGTCTGTACCTGCTTTCTGCGCTTGCCCGATGGCAACACTAATGCCAGCCACAGTGACAGGAAGGGTCGTGACTCCGGCGGAGGAGACCACAGCAGGAACTGAGACGACAGGAGGTGGTTTGGTCAGAGTCACCTGAGCGGTTTGAGCTTGAATGGGTCCTGGGGCTGTGACACGTGTCTGAATGAAAAGACATATAAAGAATTAATGTGCATTCAAGTGTATGTGAAAGGGTTAGTCTGAGTGTGTATGTATGTTCTTACCAGTCTGGCCACCTGTAAGTTGGTGACTGTAGTTCCAGTAAGCACAGGTCCTGCTCTGGGCGCAGCTGCTATCTGAGGGTTGGACGTAGCCGCTGATGTGGTGTGAATCTGCTGCGGCTGCTGAGTAGATGCAGCCTGCTGACCTTGAGCTGCAGCAACCGCCGTCGCAACCTGCTGCTGGGCCATCTGCAGCTTCTGCTTCTGTTAAACATATATTTATTAGGTAATACTTTATAATAACTGTAATTTATAAATCATCAACAAACAATATATAATGCTTAACCGATCATTAGATAATATATATTCACATAGCTAGAAATATGAGATAACGTTCTTGTTAATGTTTACTAATGAACTTACTAAACATTACCTAATGATTAACATATGATTATTAATGTAAATTTAAATGCTTAATGTCAGTAAACGTTCAGTTCATATGATCTTCATTTGTTGGTCTTTGTTTGTTGTGAAGACCTCTATTCACGCGTCTTTACAGATCATTTATTAATCATTTGTTCATGTTTTTGCAATAGCCAATCTAAAGTTGAAACTATTCATCATTTGTAAACGTTTATAAACGATTACTAATCATTTAGTATATTTATGTGCATTGGACTTTTAGCTAATGTAACAAGTTTTGTGTAAAGGGTGGCTGGTTAAGTTTAGCTAAATGCTTGCTAAAGACACAACCTACCCACACCACCAAACCTGTCCCTAACCTTACCCACATCACACCTCAATAGCAGCAAAAGTGTTGTGCATTAACACAAGCTTTTAATCATTTTATAACATCTGTTAAAATCATTTGTAAATTTTTAATAAGTGCTTGATCGTATGGAATTGAAAGTTTAATGACATTTGTAAGCATTTTAACTTGCATGAAATAATGATTTGTTTGAACATTATCTAATGTTTAATAAGTGTATTAGCAAACATTAACAAAACACATGATTTCATGTTTCTAACTCTTTGAACATATATTAACTAATGATCCATTAAGCATTATATAAAGTTTGTTAATGATTTATTAATGAAAGTTATTATGAAGTGTTACCTTAACATTTATTACACACTGAGCAATACTGTAATTGCATTTAGACTTCCTTCATATTAAAACCTCATATCAGAATAGGTCAGCAAAAGCAAAACAAATACGACATCTTCCATACTAAAGAACGTGTGTACCTGCTGTGGCTTTCCTACTGCTTTGATCTGTGGAGATGTAGCCTGTGTTTGTTGTTGCTGCTGCTGTAACTGTTGTCTGAGTTGTAACTGTTGGAATTGAGCTGGCGTGAGTGGTTTACTCTGAGAGAACTGCATACCGGGAGCTAGAGAAGCAAAAATACCAGCTTAAGAATAAAACAATGGTAGACAGGCCAGCCAGATATTAATGCACAAAAAAAAATGCGGGAGTGTGACTCTCTGAATCGATTTCGCCAGCAGAGAACCCAAATCACGCATGGCTTCTCTAAGGCTTCTCTCTACCTGAAGCAACCAGCGTGCGTGTTTGGGACTGACCCGGAGTCAGATTAGTGGACACCACAGCTGATGCAGTCACTGGGGTAACAGCTCTCATGCTCTGACCCGTCGCTATGGCAACGACCTCCGCTGGGGCAGCCGTTGCAGGCACTGCCCTCTGCTGAGTGTGAACCACCTGAGCCGTGGCCGTTCCTGCCGTCTGTTTGAGCAAACAAACATTTAACACTAATAAACAGCACAGAATGGTACAAATCAGCTGAAAAGTAATTTCACAACAAAATAATAGATCAACCTGACTATATTTTGTATTCTACACTTTCAATGTGGACTTCTGAACACCACACAGCAGGTCACACTGCAGGCAATGCTGTGACAATTCAAATCAGCTGATAATCTATATATCTGTGTAAACGGCAGGAGTTTTTCAGTTATTATGTGTGCTGTATGAGGGTGGACAGAACTCACAGGCATGACAGGAGATGCCAGACGCTTGTTCGCCTGGAACTGCCCAGGAGGAACTCCAGCCACAGTGTTTACAATCATATTTCCACTCACTGTAGCTGTCGCTGAAGTTTAAACAGAAATATACATAGATGAGCACTTATATAAACAGCACTCACAACTGGATGAACAAGTACAGGTTGTGTATAATTGTGATAATACCTGGCTGGATACTTGTGCCCACTGCAGCGGTCTTGATAGCTCCAGTCTTGAGAATCAGCAAAACACAAACAAGAGCAACATATTATACCCCTTATACCTTATTATATAATACACCACATTTTAAAAATGTGGGGTCAGTAAGATTTTTTTACTGAAATTAATACTTCATTAATACATTCGTTATTCACTAAGGACACATCAAACTGATCAAAAGTGACAGCCAAGACATTTCTAATTTTACAATTTTTCTTCCGTTCTCTTTCTATTTATTAAAGAATCCTGAAATAAAATATCAAGGTTTTCATAAAAATAATAAACATCACCATCGTTTTCAACACTAGTAATGAAAAGAAATGGCTGCTGAAAGATCAGCTTTGCCATCACTGGAACAAATTACATATTAAAATATATTAAAACAGAAAAGAGTTATTTTAAATTGTAATAATATTGCTATTTAAACTATATTATTTCACAATAGTACTGTTATTTGATCAAATATTAATGTCTTCTTGTTCTTATCTTAATGTCTTCTTGTACTTAATCTTATTAAGTATAACAGACCTCTTTCAAAAATATTTACAAAAATGCTCCTGACCCCAAACATTTGGAACAGTCGTGTATACATGAATAATATAACCGTCATACAGAAATAACTCTTAGACCTTCATCTTGGATAATCTAGGGCTAAATACAGGTGTACGTAAGGTCCAGTGTGACATTTAACATGCAGTGCCAAAGGAGTCTAACCAGTACAGTGGTGTTGGGGACTGCTGCTGCTCCGGGTTGGTTGGGCTGGGCCACTCCCGCTGCCTGTGCGGCCACTGCAGTGGCCTGTGGCTGGGCAGCAGCTCCCTGAGGCTGGGCGGCTCCTGTAGTCTGCTGCTGTTGTTGCTGGGCTAACTGCTGAGTCCTCTGCTGTTCGGCTAGTGCCTGCGGCAGCGGAATATAGAGGAAAAGAGAGAAGCGTTTAAAAACGGAAAAAAAGTAAGAAAAAAAGATATAAATAAATAAAAACAAAAAAAATTGTTTTTCATATAATTTATTTACCGTCAAAACCTCTTTAAGCGGTTCATTAAATAAATCTCACCTTCTTCTCTTTAGCAATTCTTTCAGCTCTCTGAGAGGCAACCTGGATAGGAGGCAGAGGCTTGTCGTAGCTTATCCCACTAGAAATCACAAAATGAATGAATGAGATGAATGAATGAGAACCACAAATGAATATCAAATGTGACTAAAGATGTACAATGTATTAAAGACTGTATCAGTCTATATTATTATTTTTTTTAAATGATGAATTTCAGTTCATTGGTCAATATTCGAAGCAGATTACTTCAGGTTTTTTTTTGTAAAAGCAAAGTAGCACGTCAAGAGTCAATACCTCTCAGCCAGCACAGAGGCATGTTTGGGATTCTTCTGGAATGGATTCATGCCCAGTCTAGAAACAAAAACATGAACAAAATTTGTTTGTTTGTTTTTTTACTCTGACAAAAGCATTCTGTCACAATCTAAATGCAATGCCTGGGTTGCTTTTAAAGATGTTTGTGTTGGACACTGCCTGCACATACAGTGGTTTTATTGGCGGGCTCCTCTTGCTAGCAATGATTTTCATCAGCTCAAAGCGGTTGTTGTATAGCTGGATCTGGGTGGCGTTGTCGTCCTGTGTGTAGATCTGACATGTGCGCAGAGGACGACTATTCTTGGACTGCGCGAAAAAGAAAGTGTTACCAAAGAAACACCTAGTAATATGTGCTGATTTTTTTTTCTTTTCTTATGTTTAATACCTTATAAATGCTCTTGGTCTTGTTCTTCTTAGGGTTAGCTTCATATATTAGCTGTAGGACAGTGTGTACAATTATGTAACAAGGAAAATGTTAAAGAAAAATAAATAAAAGGTACATCCTGGTACAATCTCCCACCTTGCCCTCCTCTCTGAGTATGATGACATTCTCATAGCGGTTACGGCATTGTTTCGGCGAGCGGTAAATTCTGCTACAGGAGTTGACCACATCGCTCACCAGGTCCCAGTTAGGAGTGTGCGCTGGAGACACGATGGTCAGGTTCAGAGGAAGTTCCAGTAACTGCTTCACAGCCTGTGAATGCAGAGAAAAAGACAAAATTACAATCTCAGCTAATCCATTTAACACCCAACTTTGTGTTTATACATTGGCAGTGATAATGCAATGACATTTGAAAATCAAGTACCTGTAGCAGGGCCCAATCTTCACTGATGAGCCACTCAGGGTTGTCCTGCCCAGCTTCCATGGCTGGTTTGAGCAGTGAGGGCAGTGGTTTGGCAAAGGGAGCCTGTTGCTTCAGAGAGAAGTTCTTCTTCTGGTCTTTGCCCTCCCGCCTTACTTTGAGCAGACTGGCCTTATCAAAGAGAGAGCGCGGAGGAATCACTGATTCTCCATGGCCCTTCTTTTTCTTACGTCCCAGAGCTGACGAGAGGGGGAAGAGAGAGAGAAAAAGACAGAATTTAGAATGCGTTTAAGCACAGTAAGTTCAGATGTTGAAAGCGTTTCTTGAGCAGTCCAACCTGACGGATCCATGTGTCTCTTGCGCTCTTTGCGGACATAGACTGGGGGCAGTTTGGATTCGGGCATAGGCGCAGTGTCATACATGAGGCAGATTACAGAGTCAATGTAGATATCGTTATCATCCTGTGGAGGAGTTGGGGGAGTCCACAGCTACAGAAAAGAGCAACAGTAAGACTCACAGAAATCATCAAGAATTTTACCCACAAATCAAAATAGACTAATAAGATATAATTAGCTTGACTAAATTAAAAATAGGCCTTTTTGTACTCTTTAGATTATTGGCATTGGAACATCATATTTCATTCATTAATTCAAAAAATCTAATTCTGATAACAGTTATATAACTGTAAGATATAAGACTTGTAAGATGTAAATAAAAAAATACCTTTAAGTCGTAAATTATTTATACATCACATTAACAATTGCATTGCTTTTGATTTAAATCAAATGCTATTAAAAAAATTGAATGCAATAACATCAAAGTGCAAAAAAAGAGACTTAAATATTAAGTAAATAAATATTTTGGAGTAAAATGTGATATGGACATGTTTTTGGGAGATTCACCCAAAATTCTCCCTCATCCTTTAATTCCCTTCAGGAATGTGCTTTCTTAAACTTACCGGCATTATTTCGGTTTGTCCATCCTCATTCTCGAACACATACTCCTGTAAAGACGAAGGGAACAGGGTATCAAATCTACACGACACAACATCACTTCCTACTGAAAAGCACATTAGAATATATTTGTACCATGTTGTATGCATCCTCTCTGGTGTAGGTGAACAGATCCTCCTCATCTTCTAGGATCATTTGTTCCTCTTTCTCTACCTTTATTTTTTGTTGCTGCTGCTGCTCCCAGCCTCTCTTAGCAGCTTCCAAGCGCTCCTGCAATGTCTGAATTATTTACAGGGCAGGCATAACATGTATTGTAATGTGTGAAAATGTTTCATACCTTTATAACCTGTTCATCCTCGCTGATGTGCAGGTACTCCAGATAGTGCAGTGCGTATCTCTCAATAGGAGTCAACTAAACAAAACACCACAAACTCTGGTCAGTACAATTTTTATTCAGCAAGGACAAATTGTTCAAAAGTGACACTAAAGACATTTATAATGTTACAAAATATTTTTTTTTCATTTAATTGCTGTTCTTTAAAACTTTCTATTCATCAAAGAATTCTGAAAAAAAAGTACCACAGCCTCCACAAAAATATTAAGCAGCACAAATGTGACCCTGGATCACAAAACCAGTCTCAAGTCGCTGGGGTATATTTTTAGCAATAGCCAAAAAAAAACATTGTACGGGTCAAAATTATCGATTTTTCTTTTATGCCAAAAATCATTAGGATATTAAGTAAAGATCATGTTCCATGAAGATATTTTGTAAATTTCCTACCGTAAATATATCAAAACTTCATTTTTGATTAGCATTGCTAAGAACTTCATTTGGACAACTTTAAAGGCGATTTTCTCAGTATTTAGATTTTTTTTGGCACCCTCAGATTCCAGATTTTCAAATAGTTGTATCTTGGCCAAATATAGTCCTAACAAACCATACATCAATGGAAAGCTTATTTATTCAGCTTTCATATGATGTATAAATCTCAATTTAAACTGGTTTTGACTGGTTTTGTGGTCCAGGGTCACAAATGTTTTCAACATTGATAAGAAATGATTTACGAGCTGTACTGTTTTCTTTCAAAACGATAATGTATAAAGTTTTTAACAGAATTTGCATGTTAAATAACACAAAACCAAAAGTTTACGGTTGCAGGGTATAAAAATCATGTACAAGAACAATTAAATTTTCAAGTAACACTTTCTATAACCTCACCTGCTCCATGACTGCTGTCAGCTCCTCTAACTGTGATGCCTCCTCTCTCACCCCGTCCTCCACATCCATCTCTTCTTGTCTTCCCACTTTCTCACTTTTTGTGTCTACCTCCGTCTCCTCCTCCTGCTGGGTTTTCAGTCGGATGGTGTTCAGGGCCTGGATGTAGGGTCTTGCCACGTGAGGGGGGATAGATTCGGATGGGGATGGCTCCTGGTGGAGAACCACAAACTCCTCCACCTTCTCTCCAGAACCAGCCTCAACCTCAAACAGATCCTGAATGGTGCGCTGTGAATGTCCAGCACATATTTATAATGTGAGCATCGGGCTGTGAGCTGCCTCACCGTCTACTGAAACGCAACCTCATAACTGGCAAGGTTTTGAAACAGTCCCTCAAAGTCAAAAGTAACAGTGATTACATGACTGTAAAAGCGTGTTTACCTGTGTTAAAAAGGCTAGAGTGTAGTCCATGCCCTGCGCAGCTACCTCTCTTATAAGGTCTTTAGTGCCATTCTTTAAGAGCTTCTCCTCAATTGAGTTCCCGCTCTCCAACCTGACAGAGCACAGCATCGGTAAAAAAGCTGACAAACATAAAACTGACAAGCAAAAACATTTCATTTGTCCATCAGTCTGACCTGTAGATGTGGATGTCTTTGGAGCGGCCGATCTTGTCACACCACTCCTGTGTGCGCATGTCCATGCTGGGATTTAGGTCTGTGTCGTAAAACACGATGGTGTCTGCGTCAAACACGTGGCCCATGGCTGAACAGCAGCGATTGGTCAGAATGGTGCACAAGATCTGTCTGTTGCGGTTAAACCTTTTGACCTGCTCCTGAAAGTGGTCGGGACATGAGGAACATGGTAAGTTAGGTATTGCGTTTTCAATAAAAGGATCAAGATCGGATGTTTATGTATTGGTGTTGATAACGCTTCACTGATATGCAAGCGTCCTTTGAGGCCCTGTGTGGAACTGAATCCAACAGGGAGGGAAGAGCGCTCGCTCAGCTGCCCTTTTAATTGCAGCCCAGAAAACCACACAGCCTCAGTGGGACATGGACTTGGCCGGGGCAACAGAGAGCAATAGAGAATATGTTACTCCATGTCTTTTACCTGTCTCTCCTCCAGTGACAGAGACTCATCCAGCCGTACATAGGTGAGATGACTGTGGTCTAAGAAGGCCTCCAGTATATCCAGCATGCTGGTCATCTGGGTGAAGATCATAACACGCCTGTTCTCAGCGCTCAGTTTCTGCAGCAGGATGGACAGTGCCTCCAGTTTTCCTGCAAACAGATACAGGAACATTATATCAATATTTCTACTACCAATATACCAGTTTTATTTTTTCCGCTGGTTGCAGACCCTGATTGCCGCGCTATATTGTTTATTTGTTTGTTTTTTCAATGGCATTCTATTATGATATTATCCAACTCAGACAGGATCTAAACCAGAATAAGACTCAGAAGTTAGCCAGACTTTATACTGATATTTATAGATTATAAAGGCGACAAGTTTAATGCATACACTACTGTTCAAAAGTTCAGGGTCGGATTTTTTTTGTTTTTGTTTTTTAAAGAAGTCTCTTATGTTCTCTAAGGCTGCATTTAATTAAAAAAAACATCCAGTAAATGGAGTAAAAATAGTAATATTGTGAAATTTACTGTATTAAAGTTTAAAATATCTTTCTATTTGAATACATTTTAAAACAATTTTATTTCTGTGATGGCAAAGCTGAATTTTCAGCATAATTACTCCAGTCTTCAGTCACATGTTTCTAATCATTCTAATATGCTGAAAATTCATTTCTTATTATTATATGTTGAAATATGTTGTATATATGTTGAAAACAGCTGTGCTGCTTAATATGTTTGTGGAAACTGTAATTTTTTGCATTACTTTTTTCTAGGATGTTCTGATGAATAGAAAGTTCAAAGTAACAGCATGTATTTGAAACAGAAAACTTTTGTTACATTATAAATGTCTTCAGTGTGACTTTCAATTAATTTAAGGTGTCCTTGCTAAATAAAAGTATTTGTTTAAAAAATATTAAATAATACATATTAAAATATGTATTACAGACCCAACATTTTTGAAAGGTACTGTAAATGACATAACGGTAGTTACATGATGGATAGAAGATACCATATAGCAAATACATAATAATATGCTCAACTAAATATCAGCAGTATTTGTAAAATTGAAATCTGAAGGTAACATTGTTGAGGATTTTGTTGTGGTGCACACCTGAATCCATCTCCAACATGTGTACATCAGGGAACCTGACGACAGGAGGACAGGCTAAGTTACGGATCTCTGCGTTTTGTGGAGCAGACACTTCCTGTAGCCGTCGCCTGAATGATTTTTGTGCTAGGCTGTAAGATGGTGGAGGATTGGATGCATACAGCTGAGGGGGAGGGGCCACAGCAGCAGGAAGTATGCAGGAGAACCTAAAATAAAACAGGAAGCAGCATTAAATGACAAAAAGTTCACAAAACTGCTTTCATGGCAAGGAGTTCATGGTCAAATTCAGACCTCTTCAACAAGATGCCTGCTGCTGCCTCCTGCTCTGTGTTGGAGAGAATCACTGAGCGAAGTGGAGCAACCGTGGACACACATGTCTGCTGAGCCCTAATACAGCTGTCTCTGCCGACCCAAGACCAGCGGGAGTGCTGAGGTGCGGGGAAGGTTGGTGGAGGTCGTCCCTCATAAACAGAGCAGCTCTTGATCAGGTCAGAACCGTACATCACAGAGCGTGAGGACCGCCGCTCATTGGCATGAAATAAACTAGCCAGACGCTCTTTCAGCTGCCTGTTTCTTTCCTCGCTTGACTCCTAAATAGACACAAAGATAAGGTTTAGAGTTCACAACTATTTAATGAACTTCATCAATTCCTTCAACGTCTTTCAAAATCATCTACCTGCGTTGTGGCGTTTGCTGCGCGTTTAGCATTTGTTTCCATGTCTGTGGTAGCTGGAGTGCCTGTGGTGCTTGCTTTAATGGAAACAGGCGGAAACAGTTGAAGTTAACTAAAACAGCAGCAGAACATCACATACTTAGGTTAGTGGTTCTCAACCAGCGGGCCAGGAACCACTAGGGGGCCTTAGCAGAATTTTTTTGGGGGGCAAAAGATAGCTTAGAATTATTAAAAAATAATACTAAATATGCTTCAAAAATTAGATATAGCAATGGGAGGAAAAAGCAAGATGACTGGCATCTAATTTTTTATTTTACTTCTCTCACCAACTGTCATTTTTATTTAAGAAACAGAGTTCCCATGGAAGAACTAGAAATTAAAAAAAAATTAAATCTTGAAAAGTTATGACAACTTCTATAATAAATATAAAATTTTGACTAGCTAAGCTAAGCTCTAAAAAATGTAATCCGGTAGAAATAGACTAATTTACATTTTTTTTACTATTAAACATTTATTAAATTTTTATTGGAAATTAAGCCTGTAAACCCTGAAGAATATACTGTCCTTGAATCTTTTGAAATAAAATTATTATTAATATATTAAATTATTTTAATATATTGCAACTCCTAGTTTCTATGATTTAAAAAAAAAATAGATTGAAAACAAGCAGGTACTGGTAGCAGCAACATCTTAGCCTACATGGGGTCCTTTAAAAAATTAAGGTGGAGAATCACTGATTTAGGTGATGGTCGATCACTAATGAAAATAATCAGGACAGAGCAGGTACTTACCTTGCGGTGGCATGGAGGTGGCAGGGGACGGCGTGCCTGAGGAGTTCTGGACAGGCACAGCCTGGGGTATGGTAGGCATCACCATGGGCGGCCCCTGTGGCCTGAGAAGAGGCTGTCCAGGGGCTGACACAATTTGCAAGATGTTGCCTACAGCAGGCACATAAATGTATGAGCGTCACATTAAGCTATGTTATGAGGATTGACTAAACACACATAAAATCAGCTGACACAAGTGACTGGACATGGAAGTGCAATGAAACAGAGAGAGGATGAATATGGGCTGGACATTACCGAGTGTACCTTGGAGCTGCAGGGGCTGGCCGGTGGTGAGCTGTCGCAGCTGACTTGGAGACAAGGTGAACTTGTTGCCCTGGAACTGCAGGGTCACAGGGGTCTCTGGCTGGGCAATACGACCCTGCCCAACCAACTGAGCAACCTTCACTACATCTCCACCTTCAGTAGAAAACAACTCATGTTAAATGATAGTGCAAAGTGGCTGACATTTTATCTCTGAGAAAGAAAGAAAATTTTAGTTAGTTTAAGGGTGAGCACGGAAAGGGACATGCACAACCAGTGTGTTAAACAGGAAAAATGACACTTTTTCCTCAAACAAAACCTTACAAAAAAACCTGAAACAAACAAAATGAAACCAGACTGATTCGTTTAGCAGAGCAAAACAAAGTGGGAGAAATATTTGTTTGTTTAAAAGGTCTTCCATGTAACGATGGTTACATGTGACATGGGGAGTAGGCCCGCAAGCTTGATGCTCTTTACACCCACAGATGGGCAACAAAATAAACGGCTCTGAAGAAAAGCTGCACTGAAAAGATAGGGAGGCAAAACTGTATTATAAAGCTTCTGGATCATCCTTCAGCTGTACTGCATGAAAAACAAAGATATTAATCATTAAAACGCAGAAGGAAAAAAAGAAGAGAAAAACAGAATATGTAAAAAAAAGAAGATGTGAATAAACTGGAGGCAGCGGGTGCAGTCCGGAGAAAGATCTGGAGGGTTCATGCTTGTTTGTGAAGGGTGAGGAGAGAAACCACCATAGGTCATCTGCTGAAGATTTTCTGCACTTCAAATCAGACTGGAAATACGCCAGATTTATGGTGTTGATATGGCTGAATTTTAGTTGAATATCACCATTAGTTTCTTTGGTGGAACTCTGTATGTCTGTTTGCCCACTTCAGCTTTCTGTAACCAAATTTATTTTCCAATGTAACGCATCAACCACTGTCCCACACCGGGTAAACACCCTCTGGCTCAGCCTGTTACACTAGCCATGACCCAAACTCTCGCTACAGGTTTAGTTAGAAAGAGATCTGAGCTGACCACTCTAAATGTGTTTTATGGTGCCTGGGAGGCTCAGTGTTTACACCTTTGGGAGAGATAAACCCATTAATGGCATGCTTATAGTAGTTAATGTACAATAAACTGGCTTAAGATAATGTATTCCAGATGTCACCTTTTAGTAAGATGGCAGAAAAAGAAAAAAAAAAACACATACACACAAAATAATTGACGTGAGCATATTTTTAGGAAAGAAACATCTACACAAAAAAGCAACTACAAAAATATCATACCACTTCACAAAAACTTGCAGATTGTGAAACAGTTCTGGGTCTAAGTGTGGGAACACGTTTGTGTAAGATACATAAGAATGGGTCTTACCCTGTGCAGAAGTGCTTGTGGTAAGAGGCGATTTGCCTCTGGGCTGTGTGCTTGGAGCTGCAGTAGCAGGGTTGGCAGTGGTGGTGGGGGCAGCAGTCACAGCAGTGGCACGGGGGGCTTGAGTGGTGCTGCTAGTCAGGGGGACCAGATGACCCTCTGGTTTAGTCCCATACTGCACCGGCAGAAACAACCTGAAATTACAAATATGCCACAGTCAGAATCAATTCATATGGCCAAATCCTGTTGTACATGTCCACATTATAATGAAATAAATAAAAACAACAAAATGTAAAATAATTAATAAAAATTATACCAATGATTTTATAATATATTTTCTCTTTCATAATGAGGTGATACACTAAATGCAATTTTTTTCATGCTAAATGTTAATGTTTGCATTTGTATTTAATAGAAAAACAACTGTAACATATTGTTGGGCGATGTCAACAAAATTGGCATCGGACGATGTCTACAGTGAAACATCGCAATGGACGATGACATCGGCAGCGCGGGGGGGGTGGGGGGTGCCGTTGGAGTTAGGGGGTGTGCCCGAAGCGTCAATCATTATAAGGCATGGAAAACAAATAACTATTCCTAACACTGTGTCTTCACCGGACACGAGCGGTGCGGTGCGACAAAATACTATAGAACCACTGATCTATAATAGAGATTCATTATATATAAATCAGTCTATAGAACTCATTATAATCAGTGATGCTGTCTACACTGGATGTGGCGTGG